CCCCCCCCCCGCCCCCCGCCCCCTACTGATAGTAATTAAGCTGTGCAATTTTCTTAATAGAAATCATGGATAAAGCAAGTGAACTTGGAGAGCAGTGCAGTAGTATTTGTAGTTTTTGCTCAAGAATGAAACGAGGAAGGATCTATGCAGCCGCTCTGAAACACGGATACAATGTAATAGCACTTGGACAACATCTGGATGATCTCACGGAAAGGTTAATCTCACCATTTTATTGAATCAGTCATTATTATTTGTTCGGAAGTTTTTTAATTCCAATTTATCTTCTGTAGTTTCATAATGTCATGCTTCCATAATGGCGCGATGAATACAATGAAGGCTCATTACACTATCCAGTAAGTCTGGTTTAACCTTTATTATGTCCTCGTGCTCAGGTCAACATGAAACGATTTCATGTTGTTGAACGTTTATCAAAATTACCGTGTTTAACTCAGCACTTGTTCATTCTTCTATTCAGTTTTTTATTCATCACCTCTTCCTAATTTTTCTTGTTTTTTTGTGATTCTTTGGGAACTTCATCTTCCGCATTTATAAGTTGATTTACTTTCTCTTTCTCTATTTATAGATCGAAGAATCTTCGAGTGATACGACCTTTTGTCTATGTTCGCGAAAAGATGACCCGTACTTTTGCCGAAATGGTAAGCGTGCTTACTTGGACTTACTATAACGATACTTTGAACCAAAATGAGCTTATATTGCTTTTTTGTCATTTTTACCAGGCGGCTCTTCCTATTATAGCAGAGAACTGTCCAGCCTGTTTCCAGATGCCAAAAGAACGGATGCGCGTAAAGCGTGTTCTAGGCGAATATGAGAGTTTATTCCCGAATCTCTACTCCAGTTTACAATCAGCCATGATGCCACTAATTTCTAGGGGTGCAGCACTTGGGCTCTCTGGTTACGAAGACGCCAAAAATGCACTTTCAGAGAATTCACAGCTGAATTTCGATCCCGATGACGTTTCTAAGAACCCGAATCTTAGTTGTCCCCCACAGAAGACTAAATAATTTGCAAAAGTACTTGTCTTCCTTTTGTTTATGTCATTTTTATTTAATAATAAAATTGCCCCTTTTACAATGAGATCTGTTATTCCATACCACAGGAGTACATAACTACATAAGTGATGCATTTAGGGAAACTCCGCGACCTTAAGAATTTTAGTAAAGGGGTTGGAAACAGTCCACAGGAGGGGACCATCGCAGTGAACCCTGACAGTCGATGTGGTATTACGATTAGATGTTGACACAATACCTTCGAAGTCTAGGTATTCATCATCTAAGTTCCATTGCAGACCGCACGTTGATGTTCTAACGGGCTTACCCAGCGGAATTAAACCACAGTATTGGTAGGTGGGAAAGGAGTCCATGATAATGCAATTATCTCCCTATAGAAGAATAAATGAATGTAAATGAAATACCTCATCAAGCAGACAGGAGATGGAGGATTCAGTGACAAGGATGACTGGAAATTTTGAAAGCGTTTTAGCAATGTATAATGATTTCATAATTCCCATTTCATGGTCCAGGCGACCACCACTTCCGTAAAGACCAACTACGTAGTCTAATTTACATTTTGAACTTTCAACCATAAGTAAGATAGCTTTGGTAAAATCAGTCTCATCTTGGTCAGGAGTCGTAACGACTTGAATAGTATTCTAAAAAATGAAAATTACAAATATCTGGATCTTACTTTACTTTCATAGAACTCCTTCACTTCGGGTCGAATGGAATCAAAATCACCACTAACCATGTTGGGTAAATGCGAATCCTTAAATTGGCTATCATGAATGTGGTTAGCGAATCCATCCACGAATATAGTAAATAAAGCTATATAAATTAATTGTTGAAACACACGCTTACACTTTTCAAAGAGTGTTGTAAACATAGTAGTTACTTTTCTCGGATCGGTGTTAAGGCAGATAAGACCAATTTTGACATCTGTAGATGGTAAAGGTACAAAATGAACATACCGGAATCAAGTAATGAAAATGGTTTCACTATCATGGTCACAGCTCGTAAAGGTTACACAACGAAATGCGGAAGGATGGCACGGCTGAGGTCAGAATACTATTAGCATGTTTACAAACTTAAACAAATATTGCTAATTTTAACAATTTAAAATAAAATAAAAGATAAATATAACCAGATGTCATTAGAGATTTACTTAGATTGATTAAAATATTTATTTTTATTTTGAACACATAACATAAATAAATGCATTACTATTCAGCAAGATAAATGTATACTTATAATTTTTAGTGATTAGGCTTTTTTCAGTAATTTATATACTTTTGTGTATGAATACAAAGTCAATCCATATTATTCTAATGAAATTTCATAGAAAGCTGACTTTATAAAAGAAATCTTTACCTTTGTACCAAAAGAATAAATATCTAAATACAGAGGTTTCTTTTCGTCTTCAATCGAAGAAGTGTTATTGGTATCTTTCATTCTGAAAATCGAATTTTATCATCCGATAATGTATGAGTGGCAAGTCGGGAAGAGAAAATATGAGCACATGTATTTATTCTATTAGATTCCACGAACCCCAAACATATAGAACTAATAATTCGACTCACATCCATCACTACATCAGCGCGGAATATTCCAAGAAACCATTGTATTTTATTAATTAATCAATTGCGTCTATTTTCAAAATGCTTATTCGTTAGACACGTTTGATATCTCATCAAAGGTATATATTAGCGGTGACTTAAATCTTTATAGATATCTCTGCTAAAATGCACTCGGACACAGCTGTATTACCTTTAACTTGGGTAATAGAGATCTTATCTCAAAGCAAACATTTAAGATTACCATTTGTTTACAAACATATGCTGTCTGTATCCTTTACATAAAGAGCAAATAATTTGTAAAATAAACATCGGAAAATATTGACATAAGACTGAAACTCAATTCTAAATGTTAGGCTACTTTACACATTTCTTTAAATTTTATTCAGTTACTCTAAACCATGTTGTTGCTTTCTAAATTTCCACTATCTCATTCATTTCCCGAAAGTGTAAATTATAATTTTTATGATAACACTATTACACTTATAAAGCATAGCAAATAGATCTGGCCCACCGAGATCATGATGTGAATAACAATACGATAACCAATTAAGTTCCATAAATTGACCAATAAAATTCTAACTGATGTAATTTACTATTCTATTTGAAGTAACGTTGCTTTGCCATAAATTACACTCTCTCTTTAACCATTAATGTAGTCAATTCTTAAGTATTTTGGACATTTTAACCTTATTCGTCTGACTACTTTGCACCACCGCCACTTACTCAAGCCCAATATTATTTAATATTAATATTAAGAGTAATGTTCTGCTAAATTCTAACTTTACCAAACAAACATTCATTTAGAAACGTTCCCACAAACAAAATTTTTAAAAATTCTGTGTGATTCAACTTTTTGATCATATATTTATACAATAAATTTTACCGCATCATATTATCATTGAAAAAATTCAGTACGTTAAGGACGTATTAAGACTAAAATTGGAATGGATATTTGATGCAGAGATATAATAACAATTTTATCATTATCATTACCATAAATCTTATCGCGCTCATTTTGTGTCAGACTATTTTTAGAAATGGATTTGTCTAAATATTGAACTAATTGCTAATCAATTAGAAACAGTTAGAATTGGCTCCTTTTATTTTATTTACTAAGCCTAAATATTTAAATCAGTTATGGAAAACGGTTTTAATTGAAATTAACTTCTTTTATCATATTTATTAAATATCAAAGCCTTACGAGAAAGATATCAATTTCAGATCTGTTGGAATATTGTAAACAGACGAATCTCAATGCTGAAGCATTTATACCTTTTAAATTATAATTTTGACATATTTCGTCATAATAAAATATATTATTCATGATTGCACATCTTACAAATGTTTATTGATAATGTGAAAATCGATATTATTTAAAATTAAAGGTTCAAAATCGTTAAGTAATTGGGTCAAAGAAATCGCGAAAGAGAAACGAAAATTTTGAGGAACAAAGTAATAAACATGAGCGAAATAATAACTGAAATAAAATTGTGGTCATGAGGATAAATTACAGTATTATAAGAATGGATAATTTTTATCATCATATGTTTAATATATAACTAATGAAAAACGTAACAATTATAACTTACGGTATAATATGTGAATCTATGAGTTTGGTATGAACAAATTTTCTGGGTTGAGGTTTGTTTATAACAAAATTACATTTGAAAGAGTTTGACTTACCTAAACATGGTGCGCCCTGGGCAACGTATACTTATACGGCAAACAAGCCTATTGATAGGCAGCTGACTTCTGACTTCAAACTACTATGGCCCAACTATTTGTCATAATCGAACCCTTTCACAGTACTCATCTTACCTTTTTAATGCTATTGTGGCTGTCCGTCTACCTTTTACATCTGTGAATCACTAATTTGTTTCCCCTCTCGACTTTTTGTCACTTTGGTATTCCTTCTCCCCTCTGTGAAGCCCCGAGGTCAGCTCCAGGGCTGATGATAACTACCGAAACGCCTGCCATTTGATAAAAATAAATAAATACATCTGAAAGAGTATATATTAATATTTATTTATTTCAAATGGCAGGCATTTTGATAGTTA